TAGCATAATGGACAAAGTCCCAATCTGACCAAATCCCTGATCCTGTGATCTCGTGAACCTAGGGTACAGGTTTTTTTATAGGGCATCAGGTTCCGTGATCTGTGTCTGATGAAGCCTGTCGTGGTCCACAAAGACTTACGGCCAGTAAACCTGTCTTCTTTTTTCAGGTGCCACAAGGCTCTTTGTTGCTTGTTAAAGGAGGGTGGCAGGAATGTTTGGAGCAGACCTTGTATCAAGGTAAATTAGTACCACAAACACAATCTCTAGGGGATGTGGTGGTTTAGAAATGATCACAAAAATGTGAACTGTCTGTGCTGATTAAATTTTGAGCATTTAAGGATTATATTTTTGTTCTGCTACTAAAAACCGTTCCCTCAGCTTAGCTTTCGTTTTTGGGCACTTTTTGTGGAAACAATGTTTATGCCATATCTCTGTGGGCTGAGCCTCTTCTCCAGGTGGTACAATAAGGCTATTATTCTGACTCCTGTCCTCTGAAGATGTGGGCCACAGAGACAGGCGAAACGTTAGGGAGAACAACCTTCACAACATGGCCACTTAGGGAGAACAACCTTCAGAACATGGCCACATAGCCCGAAAAACCCAGAACAGCCATCAGATCCCGACCGTGAAAGCCTTCGAGAATACAAGGGTACTGTATTTCTGTTTTTACTCATGAGAACAGAGCTCACCTGGCAGAAATGAGTTATTGATATTTCTCCCAGTCCTAGCCAGCTTCCAACACCTTCTGGAATGTAGTGAAGCTAGGCTATAAAACCCACTGCTAGCCTGGTTTATTTTTTAGTCTTCATCCTGGAAAAAGGAGTGCTCTTGTGCCTCAGAACTGTATGTTATATGGAGTTGCAGTAGTGCCGGGGAGTGGGGGAGAGAAGATGTGAAGTTGCTTTCTTCTGCCTCAATCATATGCATTCAGTTACCATCACTATTACCAATATATTTGCTTCATAAGAAGCAGCTTTGCTCTTTGCCATACATTCTTCAATCTGCCAAGCCTTAAGATTAAGAAAAGTGAATGAAATGAACATAAAACCTTTCTGCATCAGATAATTTTGCCACATTTATGGAAAAATCAGTGCTGAAAGAAATCAATGAAAGTGCTGGAGGACCTCTGACCATCTGGTGTTTTGGTCTTGTTTTCAAATGACACAAGCACCATGATCACTAGCTAGATTCCCACTAATTTTAGTGCAAAACATCTCTATTCTATCATTTCATCCCAACAAACATATACACTGTATATATAAACTTCCAACATGAAGAGGATGAAGTGGATTGTAATCTACAAAACTCATGCAAAAATAAATCTGTTGCTCTGAAACATGCCTCATCTGAAGTTCTTCAGGCTCCTTTAGTTCATAAAATCAAAATTCTATGCACACCAGACTAGGAGGAAATCCCACTGAATACATGGCTAGAACTATGTTGCTTCGGTGCAGCAAAATATCAGATACTTGTATGCACAAAATGTTGGTGTATGCTCACAAATATAAACTAAACTACAATAATGTGACATTTGCAGGCTAGATCAGTGGTTACCAACTTTGAATAACCCATGTATTCTTGGACTGCATTTCCCAGAAGCCTTTGCCACCAGCTGTGCTGGCCGAGGTTGGAAACAGTTGTGCTAGATCACTGACAGAACTGGCAGCTGTGTTCCTTGGCACTCTTCCCAAGCTCTGCCCGCTCTCTACATTACAGTCCCATTCCACCCACTTTTAAACTGCCTCCTGGCATTAGTAAATCAGTATAACTAGGGGAAAATCAAAGAAGGTGGTGAAGATTTAACAAACGCCCTGTGATCTCACTTCCCCAATGTTTTATTTATCTGTTTGAAACATCAGGAACGTATAGTAAATTCCCCCCCCCCCCGGATTTCATTTTCTCCACAGAACTCATGAACATTTAACAAAGAACTTCATTGGCAAAAGCTGTTCAATATTACAGCAATCCACAATGAAAACTAGACTTATTTTATTTAATGTAACAGCTACCAAAAGCCTGCTAGAATTTTACACACATGCAAAGGATCATGTAAATTGCTACTGCTAACAAACAAGCACAGTAACTAATAAGGTGCAAGGCGTATGCCATTTGTACTTCTGATCATACAGTGGGCATCTCTTCAATCAGCTGCAGCCACTTAAATGATGTCTCTTCATGTATGCAAAGTCCAACAACATTTAGGTCATTGAACACACAATCATATGATTCCACCATTTACCCTCAGCTTGAAATGAATTCACAAATACATATTGTAACGAAATACATTATCAAAATAAATTCTAGTGCCACCTCTCATAATGCTAAAGAATAATGGTTTGGATGATTAATAAAGAAAATGAATGTCCATCTATCAATAAAGTATAATATGCCAAAGAAATAATTTAAGAACCTTCTCTAAAGTTCCAGACTTATAATAAAATACATCATGTTTTAGAGTATACTGCCCCATAGCACTACAAGCACTCTCCGGGTGGTTTTACAAAAAATAATTTAAGAACCTCCTCAAAAGTTCCAGACTTATGATTATAATAAAATACATCACAGTATGTTTTAGAGGAGCAATTTTTAAAGAATTAAAAAGTAATTTCTAAATAATGCAAAGTTCACAAACTGAGCCAAATATAAATCCGTGTTACCTAACTTCCTGCTTTTATCATTAAACTACATACTCAGTGGCTGAAATCCTTCTGCAAAATGTTATGCCACATACAGAGATTAAAGTTTTTCAAAAATTGAAACTTCTAATTCCAGAGGCTCCCTTGGGATCAATCCCTTTTGTCATGGGGAAGCTGTTGGAAACCACAGGACTGGGAGGAAGTCTTTAATTTCCATAACAAAAAAAACCTGCAGCCACTAGAGGCAGCAATTTTTGGAAATCAGATATTCCCCTTCTATTTTGCAGCACCCAACAGCTTCCCCATGACAAAAGGGATTACAAAGGAGCCTATCTTTGGGGGAAGGGAATTCATTGGAAATGTTTAATTTCCAATTAAACTCACTGTGGCTGACGACACCACGACCAATGAACTTATGCAGCTTAAGTTCAGCTACAAGATTTTCATCATTAAGTAATGTAAAACTTCAGCAACAAAGTCTTCTCAGACAAATTAAGAGAAATACATATTAAACTAACGCTCCAATGGGAATAGTGCCAAAGACAGTCAATACTGCTAATAAATAACCAGGAAGTAGGAATGAAGATAGAAAAAATTCAGAGGAATACAGACACCCAGCTCCATTCCCGTAAACAAAATTTTATAAATCAGAGCTCACTTAGCCTACACCAACTTTTCTATGCAAAACAGGAAGAACAAACTATACACATGGTTTACGTGTAGCTCTCAAAAATGATTAGATGAAGCATTAACATTCTGAGCAACTTCCACTTTTTCACTGTTTTATTTCAATGAAGATTAGTAAAGAGTAGATTGAACAGCCAGTGGTGTATTTTAAGCATGATTATCTCACTGGAGAGTATTCAAACTTATATGGATCATATCTTCCCCCTGGAAAAAAAAATTGAAAAATATCAATATTTATTTTAAAGCTGCATAAAAGTAGCAAAATATGTCAAGTCCACCCTTCTCCATAAACTTCAGCAACATGACAATCTCACAGATTTCAATGCAAATTAGTCTTTGAGAACTCTTTGCACAGTAGGTCCCTTTTTGATCATAGAAAACTGACAAAACACTGGTTACCTTTTTACTTGATTTTTCATCAAGCATATTGCATTTTTAACTGAACAACATACGGTACTGTATTTCTTATTTTCAAAGCTAATAGAATGGACCATAATGCTTTCTGTCTAAATAAACAAGGGGACAAGCTTCATATGGAAGCAATGAAGAAATTATTCCCAGGATATGCAGCTTAATGCCAAATAGGTCAGCATGCCACACTGCCATTCAGTGTGCTAGTATCAGCATTTTCCATGAGAGCTATTCTATGCTAGTGTTAATATTATTTGCAATCCTTAGTGCAAATAATAGTATGTCTGAGAATCTACAGCATGCAAACACTATCACAAATAATCCATTTGCAATTCCCATAGCTGGGATTCTAGCTATCATGGATGTTCTGTTTCTTGTTCATGAAAATGTTAATCTGGAAACATGCAAAGTAATGACAAAAAGGAAGGAGAGAAATGTATTTTTATATTTTAACACACTGGCTGAATGTCTCCTAATACTATAAGATGAAACAGAACCCTCTTGTCAGGATTTGATACCTTATCTGTGTAAAAATGTTGGAATAATTATGGGGGGGGGGTATAGAAAATGCCCTAAAACTACAGTACTTTGAAACTTGCAGCATGAATATATTGTTTACAAGTGTTTTTAAAACAGCGGACCAGTCCAGCAAGCAAGATCACTGAGATAATAGGAATTCTTTGTTAATCTCCTGTTTCATTTTGCTATCCAATGTATACCCAAGGTATGAAAATAGTAAACACTGACATGTGATGGGCAATTAATGTAAATATACATATTTACTCACTTAGAAGTGACAGTGATGAGATATTTTTATCCTTCTGCTTATAGGCACAAACAAGCATCTAAACAAACACTGCTAACTAGCAACAAATGGCTGCTTTTAAGCAACAATCACTGATGCTTCTTAGCAAAACATAGAATATGAATAAACCATGATTTTTCACACTTGGATCATTGAAAACAAACAGCTGCAAGAGACTTCTTAACCAAAGAAATAGATAAGGAAGCAGGTCCAACAATGAGATTTCTTTCTTAGACTTTGATAGGATGGGTGAGCTTTGTTTAGAAATGCTGTTGTGTGTGTCTTAATATGCTTAGACCTATATAAAATTTTTACTCTATATTAGAGATGGGAGTATTTGTATTTGTATACGAATACCCACACACAGGTGGACGTAACGAGGGTCCAGCCCCTTGGGGCCGGACGGTCCACTCACTGATCTGCTGCGGATGCTACAGAGCCTTCCAATGGCTGCGAAGATCGAGTTCGGCTCGCCACTCCTGGCAGGAGGCAGGACGACAAGCCTCTCTGCTAGGTCAAAGAGTGGCTCGCTGAACGCGATCTTCAGAGCCATAGGAAGGTTCCATGGTGCCTGCAGCAGCAGTGGATTGGTGAGTAGACTGTCCAGCTCCAGGGGTTGGACCCTTGTTATGTCCACCTGTGCAGACGTATTCATATACAAACACGAATACCCCCATCTCAACTCTATATATTGTTATTCTTGATGACTTCATTAAGAGATGTAGCTCTTGCCTTAAGACTGCATTTGAAATATTCATATTGTTCTCTTTTACTTTTAAGAGTCTTTGTTTTTAAAAGAGATGCTCCCATAATTTTAAGTTTTGTCTATAACTCACATTTTGACACCTGCATCTTTGTATAAGATGCAAGAACGGACTACAAGTTATGACATTACAGTTTTACATAACTATAAGATACAGTATTTGGATTTCAAGTAATGCACCTACAGTTTACACTACAACTGCAAGATGTCTGGATTTTACAACAATGTTGAAATAATGTTACACTTACGGAGCCTAGAAGCTATGTAGAAATAAAACTTGTAAAAACACATATTTTTAAGTTGCTTGAAATTATTGCAACAACAAAAATTCTTGTACTTCTGATACCCAGATGAATTTTAAAATGATTGCCAATGAATGTCTGTTTTCATTCTGGGAATAACCTTTCATTGGGATAATGTCAGCTATGATGGACCTATAATACTTTGTCAGTTATAAACTGTTATAGACTTCTGTGATTGACCTGATAGGTCTACATTAAGTTGGCTTGTAAAGGAAATGTACACAGCGTCTCCGAGTGAGGTCTGCACTCCCCCCCCCCCCCCACATTTCTGTTATTTAGAATAATGGGAAATAAGAGCTCTCAAATCAATACACATAGGTCATATCTGGATACAATAGTTTATCATTATGAGAATATGTTTTGTTTTCCCCTGTGGTACAGCTGGCAGGCAGCTTTGAAGAGCTTCTGCTTCCAATTTCAGTTAAACATAATGTAGTGTTATATCTAAATCATGAACTGAGATTAATTTTAACTATAGTTTTCTGCAACAAGCCCATTTCATAGTTAATGGTTTGTAACTGGCTTGTTTGCACCATACTTAAAAGTAGTCATAATTTATCTAAATTCAGACATAATAGCTACAATCCTGTCGTTCAGCACAGTAAATTGCAACTAGAGTAGGCCCATTGAATCAATGGAACATACAGAGGAGTTTTCTCATCAAATCCACACTGATTTAGTGGGCCTATTCTAGCACAACTTATTATCCTAAGCAACAGGATTTTAGCCATTATATGCTACAGTGCAGCATATGGCAGTAAAGAAGACTTTACTGAAGATGAACAGAAAAGTTGGTCAGATCTGATACTTGAGAGAAAAGAGTAGAAATTACTTGGTAAATGGGCTATAACTTACATATCACTTAGCATTTTTTCCTAAACAGAAATACTATAAGTAAATGAAAACACTTATTTTGAAGTAGAACTATAGAAACATAGTAGAAATTTGATATTTCCAGGTATCTTTCAGCTGAATGAAGCTGTTCAAAAAAGCAACATTCACTGCCTCTACTATTCACCAAAGGCAGCAAACTTACAAAACGAGATCTTACACTTATAGAAGCAACCAGTACCAGAACAAGACTATATCTAAGGTTTTGTGGTGTTTTGTTTTTTGCATACTCACTTTTTGCATTCTCATTTACAGCTGTCACTGAGATTCTCCCTTTGCTTTTCTTCTTTCATATTCTGCAAAATGGTCACTACGATCTTTAAAGATCTAATGGTGTAAAAACATTGGGGATATTAAATCAAAATGATTGCTTTAGCATGCCAGAGCGTTAGTGACTTCACTCTTAGGACTATGAACTACTTATTTAGTTATACAAATTAGTGACTTTAAGTGTAGCCACTTCTAAAATATTACTGATAACATGCACAAGCAATATAATCCTTACCAGCCCCCATATTGCTATTGTGGAAACAATACTCAGACCAACTCTGATCCACTTAGGTCTGCTTGGATCATCTTGGCTTACAATGAAAGCGGAACGAGACAATGCTGAAATAAAGCAGTTTAAAAATATGTTAGTTCTGAGATAAATGCATAGGAAAATCTAAATATCTATTTACTTAAGAAAATACTTTTTTGTCCCAATCTTGACAAGCAATAATTCTTGACTTCCTCACCACCTGGATTCAAGACAAGAGGCATGAAAGTCTTCTAAAATTGGAAACACCAGTTTGACTTTAAAAAGTGCCATGACTATCAATATGGCAACTACTATATGAATTAGTAACCAAAATGCCACTGCTTAGTTATACTTCTAGAAGGCAAACACTGTAATAGCAACAAACTGTGGTGAATTAATTAATAAGTCCGTGCTTCGATTTTTCAGCATGTGCCCAAAAATCCAAGTGAGGTCTAACTAACTGTGAGCAAGAAAGTGCTGTGATAGGTGCTATTCTTCAACACTTCCACCAAACAGAAAGAATAAACAATTACAGAAAAAAAATAAGACTACAAATAGGATAGTATGAAGCTTCTGTAATATTTTAATGGTTAAGTTTCTGAAAACCTCAGTTCTGGCTGTCCCCTAAAATATAGTACATCACAGAAATGAGTACACCCCCTCACATTTCATAAATAGTTTAGTATATATTTTCATGTGACAACGCTGCAGAAATGACACTTGCCTACAATGTAAAGCAGTGAGTATATGGCTTGTATAACAGTTTAAATGTGCTGTCCCCTCAAAATAACGCACCACATAGCCATTGATGTCTAAACTGCTGGCAACAAAAGTGAGTACACCCCAAAATGACACGTTCCAAATAGGGCCCAAACAGCCATTTTACCTTTCTAGTGTCATGTTACCCATTAGTGTCACAAGTCTCAGGTGTAAAGGGGTAGCAGATGTTATAGCTCTCACTCTCTTAGATTGCTCACTGGAAGTTCCACATGGCACCTCATGGTAATGAACTAACTGCGAATCTGAAAAAATTGTTCCTCTACATCAAGATGTCCTAGGCTATAAGAAGATTGCTAAAACCTTGAGTGGCCAAAACCAGACAGCGGTTTAACACGACAGGTTCCACTCAAAACAGGCCTTGCTATAGTTGACCAAAGAAGTTAAGTGTCAGTGCTCAGCATCATATCCAGATGTTGGCTTTGGGAAATAGACATATAAGTGCTGCCAGCATTGCTGCAGAGGTTGAAGGGGTGGGGAGTCAGCTTGTCAGTGCTCAGACCACACACCGCACACTGCATCAAACTAGTCTCCAGGGCTGTCGTCCTAGAAGGAAGCCTCTTCTAAAGGTGATGCACAAGAAAGCCCACATACGGTTTGCTGCAGACAAGCTGACTAAGGACATGGATTTCTGGAAACATGTCCTGTGGTCTGGTGAGGTCAATATAAACTTATTTGGTTCAGATGGTGTCAAGCGTGTCTGGCGGCAACCAGCTGAGGAGTACAAAGACAA